ATAGACATCGTCGGCCAAAAATTCTGAAAAGTTACTGAAAATGATCCGTAAGGTTTGACTCAGACGAGACTCGCGTGTCCATTCCTGAGCTTGTCGGATTCTTCACTTTCTGGCAATGAAGATTGATAAAATCGTCGATTTTTCGCCCAAAAATCTGGTTTTACAGCTTAAACTTAACACGATTTGGAAAATTGAAAACCCCCGCTATTTCATAAACCGTAGAGAATTCGGGAAAAGTAAAAATAACAATGTTGGCTTACAATTCTTCACAGTCTATGTTGGTGTACAAAGAAATGGGCTTTTAGAAAAAAATAAATACTCTCTCTTTAACTAATAAACTCTAAAATTAAAAAATATCTTAATTGAAAGAAAGATGTTTGCTATAGAACCCTTTGCGCTGCCTCTAAAAAATTCGCTATATGATTTAAAGCAAATTTCATCCCCAGTTAAACCATAGTTTCACCCTCAAGGTTTTCGCCCAAAAACAGATTTTTTGGAGCGCAAACTAACTAATTTCATTACAACCTGCCAGGGTGTTTGAGCAATGCAAACTCGCACATTTTTTTTGGTGTTTCGTGCAGCCCTTAGCGCTTTTCGGGTCAAACTTTGGAAAAAACCCCTAATTTCAGATCTGGTTTCTGGGCAGCAAGTTCCCATGACGCAAGCCCACGCAATCAAATAGCTACGGGAGATATAAACTAGTTTTGAAAGTAAAATTTACCAACTAATTTCCATGTAAGTGCACGCGAGGCAAAATCGGTTTAGCGCATATATTTCACACCAACGTATCCACTGCCTACTGATAATTCACGAACTTTTCCCGACAATATTGGCCATTGCCGATATTGTCACAGACACATTAGACAATAATGTCGCGATATCCACATGGTAGTATAATAAGCCCATTAGTGCCCATTCCTTATGTGCATCACCATGGGTCATTCACCGCTATATCTGCTCAAAATGGAAGTATCACAGTTGGAAATTGCCCATTCCAGGGCAAAGGTGAACAATTTCAATTTTGAATGCCCGAAAAATCAGTTGCAACTCGATGGACCGAAATCTATAAATTACGTTCCTCCAGAAGCGAACTGATCAGAATCCGCACAGCCTGGAAGAGGCGCAGATTTTTTGTGGGTGTTTAAAAGCGAAAAATGACAATTCCACTCAAATTAACACCGTGAAATAGGAGAAAATTCAAATACCTGGGATAATGCAATCATAACATCGAACCCAACAGGTTGGAAGGCGCATCAACAGGCGAAGAGGCCGCAAACTTCACTACACCCGCGGGACTCTACCCGGAATATTCGCACACAAATTGTTACCTTACGGGTCTAAACTTGTTTGTTTATTTGCCGTGAACCCACCAACTTCACCGCAACCGGTCGGGTTTTACTTTTCTGTATTATCTTTCGTTGTGGTCCTCGTAAGGACTCCCGAGGAGAATGTCTTGAGGTACCACTTGCAACGTTGCCTGGTTCACGCCGTCGCAATTTGTTTATTTCCAATCACTGGTACCTGCCCAGCTTCTGGCTATTGGTAGTATAATATAAATAATGTTTTTTACACAAGTTTGCAGCACAGGTTGAAAAGGTTCAACTGAAAGGTTGTGCAGAGCTGGTGGGCACCAAACAAATGGGGAAAATGACCGGGGCAAACTCAAAGGATTCTGGAAGATTCAGGGGGTTTGACAACGCTGAAAAAGTACCAAGAGCTGATTGGCGCAAGCGCCCGGTTCACCTGAGACTGAGTACAGTTATTTCAAGACAGGTTTTCAACTTTAACAGGTGATGGTGGCTGAAAATTGACTTAGCCATTAGTCAGAGCTGGAGATCAAACCCGATTTGACCTGCCTCGAAACCAAGCAAAAATACGCTATTTACAGAGAAATTGGAAATTTATTCTCGGTTATAAGATTCTTTCAATTACCTACTAGAAAAACTGAATATATTTCTGAGCATGGTTTCAATTCAGTGTCTTAACTCAGTTCGCTTTTCTCCAAATCTTCGTCTTGAAACATTTACCTTTTTGTTCTTGGTTTATTTGAAGAGGCAAGTTTTTTCTCTGAAATTGCATTTTTTTATCTCTTTTCAACCGGTCTTCTAAGAAATTATTCGCACTCAGCAACTAAAGAGCTCGTTTTTCGCGAATAAGTTAAAAGAAAAAAATAATTTCTACACTTCAGTACGTCGATGTGTTTCTCAACAGCGGGGGCACCGCCCTTTTACCAAGGCCCTAAAAATTAAAATTTAATTTGATTGACATGAAATTTTCCGAATAAGTGTGTGTCTAGAAGTTGTGAAAGTTTCATGTTGCCAGTTGTGGTCAATTGGAAGTTTTTAAGCAGCGAGGGCACTTGGGAGGACGCGTTCATTTCTAGTCCTTTATTAACCAAGTCGCCAAAAATTAGGAGTTTATGGTTTTTTAGCGAAATTTTCAGCACAAAAAGCCATAAGTTCTTTCTAGTAGTAGTAAAAGTTTGAAGTTTTTCTTTGTATTCGATTGGAAGTTACATATTGTTTAAGAAGCGAGAGAACTTGAGTGTATACTTTTATTTCTAGCCCAAGACTTACCAAGTCGCCAAACATCAGCAGTTAACGGCGTTTCTCTGAAATTCTTACCATGTATAGATGCTAGTATTTTCTAGACGTGGTGCAAGTTTGAAGTTTGCCCCTTTATTTGGTTGGAAGTTATGAATTTTTGAATATCAGGAGCATTTGGAAGGAAACGCTCATTTCTAGTCCAAGATTTACTTAGCCACTAAAATTCAGAAGTTGTAAGGATTTATGGGAAATTTTCACCATGTTCGGATATAAATGTTTTCTAAAAGAGGGGACAGTTTGAAGTTTTCGCTTGAACTCGATTGGAAGTTACAAATTTTTTACACAGCAGAGACACTGGGGAGGAAGCTTTCAATTTCAGTTCAATATTTTACAAGTCGCCAAAAATCAGGAGTTGATGGTATTTGCGCGAAATTTTCAGCATGTGCAGACAGAAGCATTTTATAAAAGTGGTGAAAGTTTGAAGTTTCTCCTCGTAGTCGACTGAAAGTTACAAAATTTTTAAATAGCGGGGACACTGAGGAAGAAACGTTCATTTCTGGTGCAATATTTTACAAGTCGCCAAAAATCAGGAGTTGACGGCATTTCCGCAAAATTTGTGTTTGAAAAAAGCGTTTTAAAAAAGTGGTGAAAGTTTGACGTTTCTCCTTGTATACGATTGGAAGATACAACATTTTTAAATAGCGCGGACACTGGAGAGGAAACGTTTATGTTTAGTGCAATGCTTTACAAGTCTTTTATATATAAAGTGGTGGAAGTTTGAAGTATCTCCTCGTACGCGATTGGAAGTTACAAAATGTTTAAACAGCAGGGACACTAGAGAGGAAACTTTCATTTTTACTGTAATATTTCTCAAGTCGCCAAAAATGAGGAGTTGATGACATTTGCCCGAAATTTTCAACATCTGCAGACAGAAGTGTTTTCTAAAAGTAGTGAAATTTTTAAATTTCTGCTCGTACTCGATTGGAAGTTAACATTTTTTTAAATAGCGGAGACACTGGGGAGGAAACGTTAATAATTAGTCCAAGACTTTCCAAGTCGCTAAAATTCAGAACTTATAGCCATTTGTGCGAAATTTTCAGCATGTACAGGCACAAGCATTTTCTAGAAGTAGTGAAAGCTTGAAGTTTTCCCTTGTATTCGATTGGAAGTTTTAACTTTTTTTTAAACAGCGAGGGCTCGATGATGAAATATGTCAAATCATTACATTTTTGCAGACAAAACTGTGAACCCTGGCTTGAATCTTCAGACATGTTAATGGCTAAAATGCAGACAGTGGAAATCGTAAAAGACCTTTAACATTTGTTAAAATACACCGGGCGAGGTTGAAGCAATAAACTGTAAAATGTATACTGAGGTTTGAATGGAAAAAAATCGACATCCTTTTGTAATTCCCGTATATCTAATGCTGCAGATAATAGTTTCAAATAAAACGCGTACTCGAACCGTTTTCAGTCAAGCAGAAATTTGTGATCGTTGATGGGGATAAAAATTACAAAGTTTTAATGAAATTTTCTAGCCACAGATTTTTCGCTTTGAGACGGAAATCGTCTTACAATGCTTGGGTTGGAAATATAATGGTGTCGTTTTATTTTTGAAGGTTTTTGCCGCGGCTCAGGCTCAGGCTCGGCTCGTCAGGTCTGGACGTCCCAAAACGCTAATCAAAATGATTCGCAAAAGGTAAACTAGTGACAAATTAGTAGGCTTTATACTTTTAATCCTTGTCGCTTATTTTATTCGAGTAAATTGCTATAATTCTGCTTAAATTCCCCAATGACCTAAAAGAAAATTTCTGGTCTAACCGTGTTTCTTAAAATGTCGTTGGTAGAAAATTAATTAATATTAAAAAGCTCGACAACCATGGATATTCTAAGTTTGCGAAAATTGAGCTCGAATGACGCGATTCTCAAAAGGCAGCTTTACAGGATCGTAACCAGCAAATTTTCGGCTTTAGTCGATTTACTAAGAACATAAATTTACGAATATCACATTTACTACGGTTTAAGTCGCAGCTGAATGTGAACCCTACACGCTCGTCTGTACTGTATTGCTTTCCCATTCGGCCTTTTGTTCCTTTAGAGGCTAAAACCGAATAACTGCTCTTTCAAGTGGCCTTTGAACTGTTTTCTGTAGCCAACATGTTGCCTACAGCGAACAATAACACGCAGAATGCAATAGATTGTAAAACACCCCAGAACTGTGCAACCCAGTAAAAACTGGGTACGACCAAAAAAAAACTCAAAATTATGCAGGAAAGTGTTGGTCTGCGGAAGTAATATTCAGCTCTTTAACTTCCTACGCCTAGTTACTTTTACTGTTATCTTTGGTCGCAGTGGAATATTTAAATGCCATTTCTGAAATCACTTGGCTTTCACGTAGGTACTACTTGGACAATTTACAATTTACTGGCACGTACAGAATGTTCCAATCACTTACATGATTCGTATTTGCTGTTGTCGGCGCAGTTGTTCGTCTTTTGTGAGCACACCCAGTATGAGTTCGCGCTCATGATCGGTGAGAACCGATGCCTCTTTGGTCGCGGCTACCAAAACCTCATTGGATGAGGAGGAAGGCACCAGGTCGATCTCGTCCTCACATGACATGTCCCTCCAGGTTTCCACTCACGGCTTTACAGCTGAAAGAAAACAGGAAATTGTTTGAGTTTTTATGGGTTTTTCGAGCAAAAATCTAGTTTTTTGCAACTTTTTATAATAAATACTTGGTACTCATTGCTTTGTTCAATTTACAGTCTGGGGGTTTCCTTTCCATTAAATCGCATACATCCGTAGTTCTATAGTAAGCACAAAAGCTTTCTTGAGGCCATAAACTAATTTTTTAAGTAAAAATCCACTTAAAATTTCGCATAACAAACTCACTTAATACTTGCGCAAGTAAAAATTTTCTCCAAATTTGAAAAAAATCGCCAATTTGAAAATTGAACTCGGTCGGAAAAGTTGCCACCAAGTTGGATGTTTGATCGAAGAGTAGACGATTTTTGAACCAAAAACCTTTTAAATCTTCAGTTTTTAGACGAATTACAAATGCATTTAAGAAGTAGGAGTTTTCACAATCGCTTGGAAAATTGAAACCTTGTTTCAAAGCGCACATTTATTTATAAAAATCGCCAATTTGCAAGTTGAAGTCAGTTAAAAAACCTGGCAGCTTTAGAGATCTTAAGGTGGAGTTTCATTCTCGATTTCTCGATTTTTGAACCAAAAACGTTTCTAATCTTCACTCTCTAGGCAAATTCTAAATGCATTTAAAAGCTGGAAACGATTTGTTTCTCAAAAGCGCAAAAGCATTCAATTTTATCTAAAAATCACCAACGAAGACAAATAGTAGGATTTTTGAACAAAAAGCCTTCTGAGGATTGAGCATTTAGCTCCAAATCTCAAAAACATATTTTTTTAGAAAAATACACAATTTTGGAAGCGAAAAGTTACATCTTGGCGTGACAAAAAAAAATAAAAAGTTGAAAACCTAGTGAATCTAAATTTCACCAACTTGAAAATTGAGGTCGGTCGAAAAACCTTTCAAATGTGAAGGTTTTAATGTTAAATAGACGACTTTTGAACCAAAAATCTTTTGATTCTTCACTTTCTAGGCAAATTCCAAATGAACTTAAGGACCTGAAACGATTATTTTGGGGAAAATCCACCTTTTCTGAACCTGAAATTTTCTCCCAACTCATTGAAACTACTAAAAATTTGAAAAATTGTAATGTTCTTAAAAGCAACCAACTTGAAGGTGGAGTAACGACTTTCGAACAGGGTTTCAATCAATTTTATCTAAAAATCACTAGCGAAGACAAATTGAAGTCGGTTGAAATACGTGCCAACTATGGAGATTTAAAGGTAGTATTTTTGGACAAAAAGCCTTCTGAGTATTGAGCGTCTAGCTCCAAATGACAAAAGCACAGTTTKTTGGMAAAGTATAAATTTTTTSAAGTGAAAATTTGCTTAAWATTGGCGTGACTTWAAAAAATAAAAAGTTGAAAACCACTGAATCTAAAYTTCATAAATTTGAAAATTGAGATCGGTCGAAAAACCTTTCAAATGTGGAGGTTTGAATGTTAAGTAACTGATTTTTGAACCAAAAATYTTTSGATTCTTCACTTTCKAGGCAAATCCTTAMGGACCTGAAACGATTATTTTGGGGAAAAATCCACCTTTTCTAAACCGGAAATTTTCGACCAACTCATTGAAACTCCTAACAATTTGAAAAATTGTAATTTTGTTAAAAGCAATCAACTTGAAGGTGGAGTAACGAGTTCTGGTAGTTTTTGAGCTAATGAACTGTTCAATAAAAACCATGTTGTTCTACAAATAAACTTTTCTAAACCGGAAATTTTCGCCCAACTCATTGAAACTCCTAACAATTTRAAAAATTGTAATTTTGTTAAAAGCAATCAACTTGAAGGTGGAGTAACGATTTTCGAACCGGTTTTGAATCAATTTTATCCAAAAATCAGCGAAGGCAAATTGAAGTCGGTTGAAAAACCTTCCAACTGTGGAAGTTTGAATGTTGAGTAAACGATTTTTGAACCAAAAACTTTGTGACTCTTTACTCTCTAGACAAATTCCAAAGCCGCTTACGAACCTGAAACGATTGTTTTGCGAAAAAATTCACCTTTTCTAAACCGCAAATTTTCACCCAAATCATTGGAACTCTTAACAATTTGAAAAWTTGAAATATCGTTAAAAGYAATCAATTTGAGGGTGGAACATACTCATTAGGTATTAARTGTAAAAATTCCAAAAGCTTTGAAYRACCCAAAACGCATTTTTTTGGAAAAAAATMTACATTTTKRGAAGYGGAATATTTCCCACATCTTGCATACTACTGGTACGATTTGGAATAGTAAAACCTCGATAGAAAACSCTTAATCTTCTCAAAAAATCGCCAAACCAAACTGAACGCTTTCCCKATATTACAAGAAACTTCTAATGTCTAAAATTCTCAATTGGCAAGATAGCARAAACATTTTTTGCGCAGAAACTATGAATGGTACAAGGTGTTCCAAAGACGACAAAAATTYCAAGAGAGGATCAGTGCATCAASTCAAAAAAAAAATCAGTTGATTCCAGCGACGAAATAAAAAGTTCTGGTAGTTTTTGTGCTAATGAACTGTTCAATAAAAACCATGTTGTTCTACAAACAAAAGAGCCTCGTGCCAAAAACAAACACTAGATAATGGTTTGAGAAAAACCACCTGCCTCAAGGCCACGTGTTGCTCGTATTTACGTTATCCTTGATCCAGGAGCCCGGAACTTTGCCCGTGGCCTCCCGGCCCGCACATTACACGACGATCCGCGACAGGCAGACTGCGGGAGTCGCCACTTCGGCTGACCGACTTCTCCATGATCTCCCGAAACTCCCCCACCAACATGCCTTGGCCCCGTTTCTCCATCCCTCGGGAACTCCATTTGCGGTGCGTCATGTCAATCTTGTTTCGGATGCATAGCCACTGAGTGTGCCTTTCCTCAACATGGAAATATCATTTGTTTACGTGCCTCATCACGCTTTAATATCACGCGTTTTCCCCTTTACTTCAACTGGCTGGATGGACTCGGCCATCCACACATCCAGCTTTAATAAAAAAACACCACTCAAGTTACTTTAAATAGATTTATTAATTTTTATATTATATTATATTTTCTCAACATTTGTTAAATCTAAGTACTTACATAGCTTTCAAAACTTATCACTCTTTTCATTAACTTAATTGTATTTACAAAAAAAAATGTATAGTTGGAATGTTTCTTACGGTACTACGGAGGAATATATCAGGTGCTAAACGCTATCAAATATTTTAGAGAAAATTAAAAGACAAACACCATAAGCCCTAGCTGATTCAGCATCTGATACGTTTCTCAAAATAATTAAATAAAAACAATCTTTCACAATGGCAATGCAATTTATATAAAAGCACAGTACCTATCACCGTTTTTGGAAATACCTTTCTGTTACGAAAGCAAAATTAAACAATACGGGGTTTGTGTAACAACCAGTAAAATAGCAAAAAACTACGCTCCCTTTTCGGGTTAAATTTTAGTGGTACAAATGGTATAAAAATAGAAACACGTTATAAAAAGATGGGTAACTTATCAATAGCATCACTAAATCAATTACAAATTGGCAAACATATCAAGATTTTTAGGACTTAATAGGAATCGTAAAGCTCCTGTTTAAAGCTTGCTTTAAGGGGTTTCTGGAAATTGACTTGACACTTATTAAAGCTTCATGGGGATTAATTACACAATAACAAAATTCGAATATACAATGCAAGGACCGGGAGAAGCACACGGATGTTGGCTGCTTTGATAATGCGAAACATCAAAAACATTAACCAAATCAACGATCTCCACGCTTTGTTAAAGGCTAAGAGGATTTTATAAAATGTATACATCAATATACAGGGTGTGCAGTCAACACATGATCAAAAGGACCCTGAGACACTTTTTGGCTCAAATTTATACTGATAACTTTTATTAACAAAAAAGTCCAGCTTCTCTGCTTTTATTAACACTCGCTGTGACTTTGCTCTTATGTAAGACTAAGAAGTTTTGATTATCAAATCGAGTTCATCCACTTTGGGAAAGTAAAGAATTATTGAGTGTCTTGGTGCAAAAAGTACCAGAACTTTTTTATTTGGCAGCTAGAATCAACTGATTATTTTTGAGTTGATCTACTAACCCTTTTTGGACATTTTTCGGCTCTTTGATAAATCTTGTAGCAGTCATAGATTTTGCGCAAAAATCGTTTTCGTTTCAGTGCTATTTAACAATACTTCGCGATTTTTCGTCAGAATTGCTTTCATCAGAAATCTTACGAAAAGAAGATGCGGAATTATGGTCCTGACGTAGGAACAAATCCACAGCAAGTTTTATTAGAATTCTTCTGAGCGCTTTCCCGAAATTACAAAAAAAACTAGTTCAACTTTTGTTAATGTAAAAAGTTAATGAATGGTAAAACTGTAAGTTGGCAAGAGAACAGAAATATTTTTTGCGCAAAACCATGAATGTTACAAGATCTTGAAGATGATTACTCACTTACCCAAAGCGCATGAACTCGGTTCCTTTATAAAAAAATGAGTATCACATAAGAAATTCTCAGCGAGTCATTAAAATCCATCGCACCATTTCCCGATATTCCAAAAAAGATAATTTGTTTGCAGAAGTTTGACCATTCTTTTAATCCAAATAAAAGCACAATGCTTTTGATCATGTGCTATTGTTACCCTGAACAATAAGAAAAACCCTGTTGAATAAAAAAACTAGATAAAAATGCTCCTAAACTCGAAAAGAAATATCGCTACCAGCCAATAGAGGACTATTTCGAAGTTCACTAAGTACACCTAGCACGTATTTAAGAGACCATGTGGCATAAAAACGTCCGCAATCAAGCAGAATAATGTACAAGTTAGTAGCATAATTTAACAAGCATACGATGGCATTTGTAAATTCTGAAACGGTGCTCACTTAAGCAAAAGTCGATTTTTAGCCTATACAATACTGATTAACCATACGACCGCTGTGCAAAGTCCTGCTCATACTTGCACGTTATTATGCATGACTTTCTCCTGCAAAATCATCCGCATTTCCGTTTCCACCTGCAGCCGATTCTTCAGCGCTTCGATCAGTTGCCCCTGCTGTTCGCATTTGTTCTCCAATTTCTCCAACCTATCCAGCACTTCATTGAACATAGCCAGACTTACCCCAACTTTCTCCAATTTTGGTGCTGGACTGGGCGTCAATGACAGAAGGTCTGCGGTCATAAAAGACCCCGATGCTGACGTACTGGCGGAGGTACTTTTTTGGGAAAAATTACTGGAATGACTGACGCTTGTGAACGATGTAGCACTCGAAAAGCCCGTTACAGCCTTTTGAGTAATCACATTTTCGTAAGCTTCCATTTTGGGCCTGGGGGAGATTTTCTGGCTAGGGAGTCTTGGAGGGGACTCTTTGGGTGTGGAACCTGGAAAAACATTAACCGTCAATGACTTATCCCGGAACGAATCACAGAGCAACAAAAGCAGTTCTTCACCAAGCGAACAACCTAGTGATTTTAAGATGAGACGGCGAAACACATTGATTTTCACCTTACCTATTGAATGCCTATTAACAGACGACACAACGGGCTTACTTTGAAGGGGCGACGGCTGCTCCAGCTCGTTGGGGGGCGTCTTGTAGGGCTTGGGGATCGGCTTCAGTTCCATTGGGCTGATTTTGATCTCCGACATGGATTTGGACATGTCCGCAATATTCACCTCCTTGTCCGCCGGCGAATTTTGGCTTGACTTTGATCCATCTGAGTCGGGTTTGGCTGAATCGGCACCGACAGGTTGTTTGGGCCGTAGTTCGGGAACGGGAGATACTGACGATCTTTTAGCTGGAACGTTGGTTGGTTCACGAATTTCATTGGACAATCGCTGGCAGTTACCTTGATTCAGTTTCATCTCCTCCAACCATGGCGCTTTGTTTTTCTCCCACTGTCGCACTTTCGGCGGACCGTCGCTACCATCCACTTCAGACGACGAGGTACTGAGAATGTCGCTGCTGGATCGCAAACCCTCCTCAGACTTGCCGACGAGATCGTGGCCGTTTAGAAGACTAAGGCCCTCCTCCTCGTCTTTGTGAGTGGAAGTAGGAAGCCGTCGACCTGCCGATAACATTCTAATGCACTAAAGCGCTTTAAACCTAATCATTTGTTGCCGTTATCTAGCATAAATACCTATCCACTATCACAAAACAAACAGAAGGTTAAATAATACCTGTTAAGTTGCCTAAAAGATGCTGTTTCATAGCAGGCGATTTAATCGAAGCACTAATTGAACATGCAGTTCTGAGAGGATGATTCAAAACCAGTAAATGAATTTATCCATTAAATATTTCTGGTGGTATTAATAATAGTGACATAAGAGCGAGTAAGGCACCATTTCATGAATGAGTCACTGTGATCAATGCGCATATTTGAAGCTTCTCGATAATGCCTGCATTAGTCACTTGAGTACAGTTACTTTTATTCGATTTATTACCTGGAGGTCTGGCTCTGTTGGCTCTAACATCGCTCAGCAGCGGTCGCCTTTCCACCTGATCGAAACTGTTCACATGTTCAGCGTTGTTCTCCTTGGCCTCCTTGGCCGGTTCGGCCTTTGCCTTGCTGCTGGTCGCTCCATCCACAGCATCAGCAATTTTGTCCTTCAGCTTCGTCAACAGTCCGAGCCCGGTAGCGGAGGGCGACTTCTTCACCGATATTGAAGGTTTTTTACCTTAAAAATCACAGGTATTAAAAACGAATTGCTGCAGTGCACCTTTCGCTCTCTACCTGGAACAGGAGGTGCAGCTTTCGGCTTGGGAACTTGGCGTCTTTGCTCGCTTTTCGGCTCCAAGGATTTGCGCTGCGCGGCTACCGAACTGGGTTTATTGGCACTGGAGTCAGTTGTTGGATGGCTTTCAGCCTAAGTAGTAGAAAAATTAATATTCGGGCCGTGATTGTTTTGGGTTCTTTAGTACCTTGCCACTGGGGGTACTCTTTTTTTCGTCGCCACTGAATGGCAACAGAACGACGAAGTTGTCCGGAAACATTCCGATCCTTCCACTGATTTCTCCTTTCCACCAGCCGGGCTCATTGCCATCTTTAGATAAGATGGTTATGATGTCGCCCTCTTTCAATGTTAATTCGTCGCTGTTTTGTGCACTATAGGAGAATCGAGCTTCGCATTGCTGTTTCACTGGAACAGAGCATTAAACTTTCAGTGACTGTTTGCCTTCAAAGGCAAATAGACGCTTTGATGTTTGAGACGAGATCAGTTGGTGTTTGCAATAAGACATTTTCTCATCGAAATTTTTATCTGTGTCCAGACAATCAACATTTGATGGGCGTCAGTGACCTATATAACTAACTTAAGATAAGATAAATCTGGATTAGTTATCGATCAATCAAACAAACAATTTTATTAGACACTCACCTGGTTTGGCAGGCAATGCTGGAACTGGTTCGGCTATTTTAAGGTCCTCGCGTGTACCGGGTTTGGGCCTATTTAGGGCTGGGGTGATTTCTTCGACGAAATTTGAAGGAAACACTCCTACTTTGCCGTTCAAAAGACCGCGCCACCATCCTTCTTCCTCTTCCCCTATTATATCGATAATGTCTCCTACTTTGAGGTTGAGCTCGTCCTCATGGTCTTGGTTGTAGCTGAACAATGCTTTGCATTGTCTCACTCTGCAGTGAGAATGGTGGCACGTTATTTAGTTGGTTGATGAGCTGGCGAATGAACCTACCTTGCGAGATCGCGCTTGTTCCTTAACACAACACCTTCCTTTGTGAGGATTTTGACGAAGTTATCGGGGAATACTCCCTTTTTGTCGTGCAAAGTTCCTTCCCACCAGCCTTCTGGAAGTTGCAGAAAAAATCATTGTTGATCAATTGATTGGGTTTTTAGCTTTGTTTGCATAGTAGAAAGTGCTTGATAGATTTGTAATAATACCAACAGCTTGAGGTAACCTATTTTCCATGGCACACATTCAAGAAAAACCCATGGTTTGTCTAGTAAGACACTCATGGGAAATTGTTGTATTTATAGACTTACCAGACTTTTGAGACACATCCTTGATTATATCCCCTTTTTTGATGGTAAGCTCGTCGGGCTCCTCAGCTGTATAGTCAAATTCAACCAGTACCTCCACTAAGAAAAAAAAACATTTATTATTAACAATTTCCACCCAAAAACCTAGTTTAGCACAGTTTAGACTTACCCATCGTATTTCTCACATAATACCACTCTTCATAGGCTCATATTTTTGGCAGCTTTATGGAAAAACATAGACAACCCAACCCATAAATGATATCACAATAAAATATTTTATTTACAAGACTGAATTGGTTACGTTTTACGATTACTGTTTGGCTATATTTTTATTGTTAATGTCAGGCATTTGTCAAATCGTTTTGGGAAATGTGCCACTCGATTTTGGGGCATCCTTGTTTAAAACGTTTCCCCCCCTAGCAGTTTGTCTCACTTTTCCAGTCGGTTGAAGGCTTGATGTGATCCGATCGTATTCCGGAATAATGTCCAGTAGCGGAGGCGCGCCTGGCGAATGAATTAAAATGATTGAAACTAATATTGTTTTATGCATTATGGACAAATAACGTGCCTTTTTTAGATGAATTTAGTATTCAACACTGAATATACTAATCCTGGTTTTGTTAACTTATCTCTTATAGATTTCGATACGTCAATTGTTTAAGACAAAAATGCCATTAGAGATGTTTGCGGAACAAGCTATGTATATCTAAGGAACGGTTCTAATAGGTCAAGCTATATAGCATTTTCATCATGATCATATAAAAGATAATGAGCAGATGAATAGGTATGTGTTCCACTCCAGGAACGTTATTCACAATTTATTATTCGGAGTTATTCACAATTTATTGCAATAGAAACGCGATTTTTGTCTTTTTTGTTTATAACTTTGAAACTAATGGAGCAGGTGGAATGCCCCATCGAGATGATTTGTAGGGAATACAAATATCTTCAAAATGAGACTTCGAACGCCTCAATCGCATAATTAGTTTCTGGGAAATTTAGGAAAAACCGGAAAATTGGGCGTTTTTTCGAAAATTCATAGCTCCGTCATTTTTTGAGCTGAAGCGCTAAAATTTGGAGAGAAAGTAGGGATTATTATGTTCTGTATATGTACGTAAGGCAAACCGTCCTTTGAAATTATAATTGGACTTACGGTAAAGCATACAGGCCTTCCGGAAAAAGGTGAACTGCAAACTTTGATTTTGAGAAAACTACTCGTTACACCGCGCCCGCCCTTGGCACATGTAAAGAACATTACAATCCCTACTTTTCCTCAAAACTTTAGTGCTCCAGCTCAAAAAATAATGGAGCTATGAATTTTCAAAAAAATGTCTAACTTTCCGGCTTTTCCTAAATTTCTCAGAAACTGACAATCCGATTGAGGCGTTCGACATCCCATTTTGTAGATATTCTCATGTACCATAAATAATCTCGTTGGGGCATTCGGATTGCTCTATTAGTTTAAAAGTTATAAACAAAAAGGCGAAAATTTCGTTTTGTTTGCCATAAATTGTTAATAACTAACATATGAACCGCGAATGCGAGTGGAAAACACATACCTATTCATCTGGTCATTGTCTTTTATATAATCACATAACTGAGTTGATTTTCAGAAAATGGAGGATGGGGCGCCAGCTTGCAAAAAGCTGGTAAGTAAGAATTCTGAACTATAAATCCCTTAGTTTGACCTGAATAGTTTTCCGAATGGCAACAATTTTTATGGATTATCTACATTTGTTATTCCTTGCTTCTCTGATTTGCTATAACATTGCTTTAGGCAGATTGTCTATTGTACTAAACATATTTTCTGCTTTCTTTCCAGGTGGCACGAAGCAGCTTTCAGTCAGTTTTGCTTTATTTTTCCCCTGGTTTCCATCTAGTTCTAGAGCTTTTGTTTCATTGGATCAATTTGGTTTTGTTAACGCTATGAGTCTACGATCCTAAAAATCACATTCAATTTAATTGATTAATTATGCCTTTTTTGTTGAATTTTTTAAAGCGAGATCGCAATTGGATATGAAGATCTATTTTGAGACCATTTACTGCACCTGAAAAATATAGGATTCAGGGCGATTTTAAGAAAACTTCCAGCATTTTTTAGTCAACTATGTTTTGAAGAGAGTCAACAGCTGTTACTTGCATCAGTTTGGAAGACGCACATTTTTGAAAGCGATATCGCAGTTGGGTGTAAAATTTCAGAGAAAGTTTTATTGAAATTTACCAAACGTGTTGCAGAAATGTATAATTTGTATTTTCTAAGGAAAGTTTTGACTCCCAGTATTTCGAAAACGGAGGTTTTGTCGACTCATGTATATTTCGACTTTTCTCGATCTGGACAAGGTCTATTACTACCCCTGAATTGAAGACACCCTACCCTGTATAAGAAATTAATCTAAATCAAACATTTTTTCTGTTATTCAAAAATGAAATTTTGCATTTATTTATTTACGAATGTTTTACGAGTAACTCAGCTTAATTCTACTGAACATCAAGTCTAGAATTACTTAACAGTTTTGAACTCCTGTTGATTGAACTGGATTAAGACCAACTCATAAGTGACAATGGCGCTTGTGACCTAAAATATAGCATTTTAAAGCTAACTTTTTGGTGCTTCATTGTGGTCAAACCTTCAGAATCAGGCCCCGAGTGATTTTGAAAAAGTTCTTCCCTGTTAAAGCCATTTCCGCGCTGTTTAAGTGAATCAAAAAACGCTCAACCTGAAAAGAAAATTCGACTAATTTCCACTCGAAATTGAATGATGACTTGTTATTTACCTCAATATTATACGAAGCTGTTGGCACTGTGGACAAGATGAACATGATGTGCTCATGCTCGTCGTAGATTGAGCCTCCGAAGAAGCAGACTGATGTGACGCGAATAATCAAGAGCAGAAAGGAGAGCCAAACGTAGGTTTTGTGGAAAGAATTATCCAGTGGCCTCAAGCTGCTAAATAGCTGAGCTAGAATGTGATACAGATTGAAGAAAAAGGTCAAGATGATCAGCCAGCAAAGCTGGCTGTTCATCAGCTCGCAGCATCGTGACAATTTCACGTAGTCCTCACGAATGGCGCTCCAAGAATGTTCATTTATCACCTGAAAGTTGTGGAAAATTGAAGTGCGAAATTGAGCAATTGCTCTCACTTACCTTACTTCTCGACATGTGCATTAGCTTATGAGAAATCTGTTGCAAGCGAAAATTTAGGTAAATACTTAGCACTATGATGAAAATGTCCACGAACGACCACATGAACGTTTTCTGGACAATGAGGATCTAAAATCCCCATGATTGTGCGGTGATTGTACTGAAATAAGTGGCTTACTTTGAAGAACACGCCAACGCCAGCGCTGTAGGGCAAATAGTAGAAAATCTCCACAAATTCCACATGCACAAAGTATTCCTGCAGCGCCTCGTATGTGCTATTGGGGTGTTTCTGCATACTCAACAGAATGGATTGACTGGTAACCAGCGCGTGCTCAACTGAAAAACATCATCACATCAACTCAACCCAAACATCTAATGAATTGAAGACCAACACACCAAATGTCAGTCCTAAGATTAACAGCATAACAATGGAGATTTTCCTTTTCATATTCGATTCCAGTCCATATCGCTTCATGGAAAGCTCCACAAAGAACCATTGCTTGGAGAAGGTGCGCCATTGCGTGGCCAAGTAGATAAACAAGGCCGAAAGCAGCACGCTCTCCAAGTGAAACATTAGCGGATCTGAAAAGACCGATTTAAAATGTGTTTTGAAGATTATTTTCAGTGGTACTTAGAGTCAGGAGTTTGTTAATGCGCATGTGGGCGCAAAAGCAGCCCAACTGGAACAAGTATCCAATCAAGAGGAACACGCTCAAGAAAGTCCTGATGGACCTCCAGTTGAAGTTTAAGCCTTTGTAACTTCTCGCAGTAATTCCTGAAATGGTCCAGATTACACACTTCGAAGGAAGCATATTTCCAACTAATCTAATCTGGAAGGTCCGCGAATATGCATGCATACACAAAAATGAATGTGCGATTCTTGGCCGAGTAGACTTTCACTTTTCTGCCACTTTGCTGTAAAAATGCCCCTCGACCAAACTTCTTTCCAAAAATATGTTTTTGAGCAATTTGGTCTACTAATTTCTACAAAAATATTGACTCAAAAACGTCCACCTCGGCGTAGAAGATTTGTAAATATAATTTACCAGTAACAGGAAAATATCCGAAAAACTGCAGCAGAATCAAGGGAAGCTTGATGACTTCCTGGAACGAAGTTCTGTCGGAGCTTTGGTTGAAAATGCTGGGCCTCAGAGCGTTTTTTAGGGCTCCCATTGTTAGGAGGGCGGCGCCTATTGAGTGCTGTGACAATGTTTTGATAGCCGAAGAACGCTTGGATTTTTCCAAATGAATACTTTATATGGCTACCATGTTTGCTTTGGCTGGGAAGTGGATAATTGATATTTAATATCTCTGTTTGTCGGTTGGGGGCATTTGACAAATATTTTACAATTCACTAACTTTTCCAGCCGTGCCCGCCCCCAATGTTGATACTTGTCCAATATCCGATAAATCGCGCAATTATGATTGATAATAATAATCAGGCGTGTCGGTAAACATTCCATTCTGCTCAAATCTGTTTACCCTATATAATTGACAGGCGCTAATGTTTTCTCCATCATCAACGAAAAATTATAGTGCTCAACCCCCGATCGAAGCGCGTAGATTGAGCGTCGCAAAGCCCAAATGTTCCTGCTGAAACACAAGCGCATCAAGCCAGCAAAAGTTTTTCTGCCCCCTGCATTGAAACCGTCCTCAAAACCCCCAAAGTCTATCCTATGCTCTTTCAGATTGTTCATGCGTATCTCCCATATTGTTGGCATGCTGCCGCAGGAGAACTTCAGCAAAAGCCCTGAAGACCTCAAGTTCAAGTGGTTGAGCTGGAGGGCGATTTACTCCTTGCTGATCATCAGTGCTCTTCTTCTGGCTGTGACTTGTTGCTTCATGCACTGGGTTCTGCACGGGAGCAGCATATCGGGAGTTGGTAGGATAAAGAGCTGACTAGAACTGACGGAGCTCTGAAACTCTATTTTAGCTACCGCAGTCTTTTACGGGGGATCGCTCATCACTGTGCTGCTGTTCTTCTATCTGGCGCTCTCGTGGTCCAAGTTGCTCAAGTCTTGGCATGCTATTGATCGGACGATGGCCGCAACTTACGGATATCCGGAGAAGTTGGACAAGCAAATCCGAGTGCTGACTGCGGTTTTCTTAACTTTGGCCATCGGTGAGTAGAAGCTGTGATGCTGGACTCTTGGGCAGGGTGCAACTTTGCTGTTTCAGTTGATTATCTTTTGAGCGTCGCCAATAAATACGAGCATCTAAACTACGCTAGTGGCTACCAATTGACGACTTTTGCCTATTTCAACGATACATTTCCCCAGCTCTTCGCCTATATCCCGTTCTCTATTGGTACCGGGATTTTTTGCACTGTGAGCCAGTTTGCTGGTTTTTTTTTGTATGATTTGAGGTTTTTTGCAGGCGATAACCGTACATTCGAACCTCACTTGGGCTTTGAACGATTTATTCATCATCATTGCCAGCAGCGCTTTGGCCATGAGGTTCAGGCAAATTAGCCAGAAGTTGATTAAGGAACGCGATGATTTCAAGGTAAAGCTCAAGAGGAAATGAAGCAACAGTTTTCATTTTTTTTTCGTCTTTATTTACTGTGGTTTATGTAGCTGAAGCCCGTTGGCCGGGAGTTATGTGTATGAATGTAAGCAAAAAAGGGCCTTCTGCGAAAAGCCGTATTATGCGCCATTTTAGAGAAAAATTAAATTTTACAGGAAAAAGTAGGGATTTTTAAGAAAAAAATTCAGTTACTTTGTTGATCTGTTTGGTAGTTTCCAGCAGTATTTTTTACTGAATAATGCAAGTCTTTGGCTTCTCTAAGTGCATCAAAGCCTCATTTTATTTTGTTCACCCGTGTTTCTGTGCTCACCTCAAAATGTTATTTAGCTCTCAAACGGCTGATATTAGAGCTCTCAATTAAGGCTTACCTACATTTTGCTCAGAAAACAACAGACTTAAAGTTTTTCTTCAATTTACTATTTTCCGCATTGTCGAAGGAGTTCAACGCACAAGAATTCCTCTCAAGTTCGGTCTCTACACCACTGAAGCATGAAAATATACCCTAGCGCCGATAAAGTTGGTGGAGATTTGGGTCACCCTGTATTAACTAAACAAGTGAAAATAATGTGTCTGCTTGCAGTGAAATTTGAATCAATTCTAGCAATTTTAGCTCAAAGGTAGAAAATTGGTCTTTGCAAAGCAAAATTCTTCAGAAAACCTACTATAAGAAAACCTTCAATAACTTATGCACCCGGAACGTTGAACAGTCATCATTTTCCGGTTCTTTACATGCAGCTGATTTAAAATTTATCAGAGAACATCAAGGACTTTCCATCCAAACTATGATGTCAATTGAAAAACCAGCTAATTTTCTGCAGCAACTTCCTCTCTCAGCCTCTTATTTAGCTTTTCCAGCACGCCCAGTTAAGCTTCTGGAGGCAAATCCGTGAAGACTACGACCGCTTGACCCGATTCTGCAAAGAGCTGGACTGCTACATCTCCGTGATCGTGCTGCTTTCCTACTTCATGAACATCTTTTCCTTGCTCATTCAGCTCTACCGCAGTTTAGAGTAAGCACTTTGGAGTGCCCATTGTTGGCGGATTAGTCCCACATCCAAACTCGTTCCAGGTTTATTTCTTTACCAATTCGCAAAGTCTACCTGATATTCTCCTTCGGGTATCTGATCTTCAAAACCACCATGGTCTCACTTTACGCCGCCTGGATCAATGACGAAAGCAAAGCGTTTACTCATATTCTGAACTCAGTGGATTCCACATTGTATAACACTGAGGTGAGGATTGGGAGTGAGGATTTATATGGGACTATTGACAATAAAGTCTTTTCAGATCAGAAGACTGTTGACGCAAATCAGTTTCGATAAAACCGCCTTGACTGGATGCAAGATGTTTGCGGTTAAAAGAGGCACCATTCTAAGTGTGAGTAGGCAGACATCTACAGGGCGATGTAGAAGTTTGACCAGTTGCATTTGCAGGTGGCCAGTGCGATTGTTACGTATGAGCTGGTCCTGATCCAGTTCAGCCAAGCCAACTTGTACGACACTTATTAATAACTAGTATAGTAGTAGAATAGGGAGGTTTGGCTAGAGGTCATTGTTTGAGATGAATCGGTTGCCTTCCGAGTGTTTGCCACTGTAGCGGTAACGACATTTACCGTAGGCGCCTAAAGATTAGCAAAAATTAGTAAACCACCGGTCCAATTCAAATTAACTAGTTGGCGATTGAGAGCATGACTTTGTAGTAAAAGATGGAAATCTTAGATTTTTTGAACCAAAATATAGTTCATAATAGCTCTTTTGAAAATAGTTTTATGATTAACGCTGCTTCCCCGTCCATTTTCACTCTAAAGAGGATTTATGAGGTCCTCAACACCTCAAGATCGTCTATAAAAACCACCGACACAAAATTTCAAATTAAAATTACGATTTTAGCACCCAGTAGTTCCAAAAAAAATCAATTTAAATTTTGTTAACTAATTATTTAAATTTTCCACTCTGGCACCCTTTAAAAGCCCTTCGATTTGGATGAAATTGCCTTCAATCCTGTTCCATTACGGGATCTAGCAACTCACCCTTATAGTCATCTGGGTTCCTCAGCGCCCTGGGCAGCGGGCTGTACTTCAAGTTTCCACTAATGGCCAAGTTGTTCAGCTGCAGATTAACGTTCACATTGCCTGCCCCTGATGGGGTTACAATATTCATAAATTGTCCCCTATTTTTGGCCTCCCACCGCTCCTGCTCGGAAACGCGATTGGAGTCCAGAAATTTCAGCTGAGGCAGGTGATAAAGCACGAAGTACCTGGAAAAAACCTCGTAGGTAAAGGAGATGGTTGAGTTTTCACCAGCACCTGTAACGCTGATAATCCTCTTCGTCGTGTTCCTGGTTGCTCAACTGGTTGGGACACGCCTGATTTCCTAGAAGACTCAGATAGTTGAGCGCTGGCAGGTTTTGCTTGATTTGCAGAAGCAGCGCTTCCAGGTTACAAATCTGCAACAAATCAACTACTCAACCATCAAGCGATTATGTTTTAAAGCCTCACCTGGTTCTTGTTCAGAGACAACGTGTGCAGTTTGGGCAAAACCGGCACAGTCAATGAATCGCCCAGCTGGTTGTTATCCAGAACCAATTCCTGCAGCTGCTGGAACGCATCCAGTCCCTTAAGAGTAACCAAATCGTTCGAACTAAAGTCCAGGCTTTGGACCTTCGCCCCGTAGAGTTTCACTAAGGTTTCAGGGATGCGGGTGCAACCTTGGCCGCAGTAGCATAACTGCAAGAGCAGGAAATTCGTTGGGGTTTAGATTGAGTTTTGCATGGGACCTTTTCAAACCGCTTTCCATCAGCGCTGTGAAGGATCTCCCTGATTAGGTGAGAGAGTTTCCAATTTTTTTCACTGGTGGATTTTGTGTCCAGTATCATGCAGTAGAAGTACACTGAATTCATTACTTTGGTGAGGTTTGGGCAAATGTGGGGCAATTGGAAGTGATCCAGTTAAATGAAGCCCCACAGGGCAAAAGCAGAGCCGGATTTTTTTCTGTTGCTAATAATTAGTCGCCTTAGAATGAGACACTATGGAATTTTAAAGGCGCTGTTTCCATTCGAAATAATCGCCTTTTATTCTGTTGCTGTGGTTGAGAGTTTTTTTTAGTCCTCTGATGTCAAACATCTTTTTTTGTACATTTTCTTTATGATTTTGACTCGTTTTTTTGACTTGCGCTAATACGGCCCTGTACTAGAAAATTTCGCCTGTTTTGAAAATGTCCACATTTGCAGGGGTGCATGAGAAAGTGAAAATAACTAACACTGGAAGGTAAAGGCTAGGTGAAAATTTGGAATCAACTTGGAAGTATTTGAAAGTCTAAAATAGGAAATTTGGTTGGTAGATATGAATGAAGGAAGATAATGCTAATGCATAATTTTTGCTGAATTTCTCCGACTTGGTAAAAACCGCGCACAAAATGGATGATTATGCACAATTGATCTCCTCCTTTAAAAATTCTCAGTTTCCAAAATAAAGAGTTTCAATTCGTGGACTTTTCACCATATTTAGACAAGACTTGGTGCAGCTGAAGCACAAAATTTCGCAAAAGCCGCTCTTAATACTGAATTTTTCCGGCTTAGTAAAAACCGCGCACAAAATGAATGATTCTAAAATAAACCGTATAACAATGTCAAATTTTCAACTTCAAATTTAGATGCATAAAGCAAGACATTGAGCCTGATGAAGATGAATCACAACACCTTCGGTTTCTTTCATATCACACTGATATTTTGAAGTTTTCAAACATAAACTTTACGACTTTTAACGCTAACTTTTCCGCTTTTGAAAACCAAAATGCAGCCCATAAGAGGAACATTTCGAAACTTACCCTGCCTTCACTGAACGAAACTGTGCTTGGTAGCATGTCGGTAAATTCCGTCACACTTTCCTCCATTATTAAAACGCATACAAAATGCTGATCGGTATAATGTACTTATTCGTATTTGAACTTGTTGAGCTTCTGCGCTCCCTGGTATTAAAAAACAACACATATCGCTTATCAGGTTACCCGATGGGAAATCGGCCGTTGACAAACTTAGTGAAAATGAACTCAAATTTCTCTTGGGCTGTTTCAAGAACCTGCTTTGGTCGGTTTCATAGCATCAGCTGCCTCTTTGGGGCTACTGCCCAAATTGATTCGGGTGTTTTCTATTCGGATTCGAAGATTGCAGAGGAATTACTTAGGTGACATAGTAGGCGGGTTGTATTTAATTAAGTCTCTCAAAGCATATCATTTACCATTAACATGCGAGACGCGATAAGGCGGTATTTATATAGATTTATCTAAGTAACGCTGGCTCGGATTCATACTTCATTCTCGGTTGAAGCACTATAAGATCTTTGTGTGGATCTTCACGCCTCAAGACCACATTTTAAAGCCATTCTGCTCGGAAACCAGCTGAGTTTGTGTGAGAAGCCATGATGGCTGTATCATCAGCAAAAGTCGCGCAATGTCAGTTGATGAAAATGGCACCAAAAGTTGTATATAACAACCAGGGCAAAGTAATGCAAAGCTTACCTGCAACCTGGAAAGTAAGAAGAAAATGTGTTTAGTACAGCAGGAAGTCGGTCGGAAAATAGAGAGAAATATAAAAAATACATAAAACTTCAGCTGATTGTCGGAAAACTAAACTCAGTTCAAGCTAAAAGATTTATAAATTAGAGATCATTCTTACCAGCTGTTGCAAGGTGGCGCCCTATCCTCCATTTTCTACTCATTAACCCTCAAGAAGTTCACACTTTTTCGCATATTACGGCACTTGCCATAAGGGCCACAATGATTTTATATTTTCCATCTTAGAAGCGATGATAGAAGCCAACAAAATTTCAATTAATGTCCTATAAAAGATTTCATTTCAAGAATTATTCCGCCAAAAGCGCAATTCGATGTGAGATGGGATGAGTTATAACTCACCAACTCACAGAGCGGCATCAATTACTCAGGTCTAATACATTCAGTCTTAAATTCATTTCATTAGTCATTCCCCCGAGGAATGACGCCAATTTTGAATCACCCAGGATTGAATATTAACTTGACGCAATAAAAGACACCGTGTACATTTTATTTAATTTTATTCTCATACATTCCCATACATTAATTGCGTTTAAATATATGTAACTTTAATACAACATTTTTAAGCTAAAGGATTAGAATCACTTTGGACTAAAAGCTAGTTTTCATATCTAGTTTAGTTTTATCCATCAAAGCTGGTTGGCTCCAATCTGACCGGTTCTTTCCTCCTCATAACGCACAGAGCCAACCAATAATCACAACACTCAGTGCCAACGTTTTATGCGAATAAAAATAATCTCTCTAAGTTTAAAAGTATATTCAACGCATATAAGTACGTATACCATCGTGTGCGCATTGTTAAAGGAAATATTTAGCAACAAAGCACGTTTTTTTTCTCTCATATACTAACAGAAAATAATTGGTGATGCGGTTGAATATATTTTTAAAATATTTTTACGTAATACGGCCTAAACAACGCATTTGAAGTGCTAAAAGATTGACTATCCATTTCCGGAACGGACCATTCGAACATTTCAAATACAATTTGACAAAAGGCATTGTGTCTGCCTTAGCACCATCTTTCTACCCTAAAAAAACAATTAATTTGTGACCGTTCATTTTTACGATTACTAATGTTTCCTTTTTGAGAACAGTGTATATTTTCCTACAGTACTGGCCCCACTATACGTGATTCTTTTACGGCATTTTTGCACCCTCCCTGGTATTTTTATCGCTCAGTTTCCATGCCAACAGTAATGTTTGACGGAACGTCAATCATTTTGACACGGTTATCTGACGTTTGCACTCTACCAGATTAACCCAGAGATGAAGATACCGGGCCTAAATCCATTCGATGAGCGAAAAAGCAAAAATCCGCAGTTCAGTCTGACAAAAAATGTGTAAGTTAACTACGACAACTAATAATTAAATACTGTAATATAAACTGCACTCAAAACCCTTATCAATCTAAGGGGAAAGTCCCCCTGTTAAGTGTAAAAATAAATGCCAGTCTTGCCCTACGTTAGAACTAAAATAGGCCTTATTGATCAATGTTGTTCTTAAATTAATATGATAAATTAAATAAGTATTTGGTAAAAAGCACGGAAAAGACCTACACAGAATAATAAATGCAATACGTTGAAAAATTATCTTCGATCGTCTTCAATTCTCGGCCCCCAGTTCAATGGCAAAGCAGCAGGTATCACATAAAATGCAATATCAATATAATTCTCAAAACGTTAATAATAAAAGCCAAGCGAAAACAATTGGATGATAACGCACTTGTTAGCTTAATTCGCAGGCTTCTATATAATATGCCACTTTTGGGTTCTACTTTGCTGCCCTTTTATCACCCAATCATTTCAGTTTTCACATTTACATAATAATTATCTTAGGGATCGTACTTTTACAACGTAGGTAGAGTTATATCTAATCTAGTTCACTGTCTTACACTGTACGTCGACGTGTAACGTCGTTAATAAACTTTAAAAAATTCAACGTTATCCCTCCAGGAAACATCCGAGGTGGGCTAAGCTTGAATAAATAATTCTTTTCAATATGATAACGTTATTTTAATTGCTTGTCGATTAATCAGCTAGGCATCTCCAGCTGTTTCTGATGATTAAGCGCATAGGGGGAGATGAGCCGCTGGGACTAGAGCAATATAATCCTAAAAGTTGAATTTGAAAACATCCTAAATTGAAACAGCCTAAGAAATAATAGTCGATTGGAACTCGGTATTTTCTATACCTAGTCGGCAAAGCCTCCGTCTTCTTGCCCAGGGAAGAGCCTTTGCGCAAGCATTCATTATCATTAGCCACATTAGTCTTGATCGAAGGATTGCAAGTGGGAAACCAAAAATCCGTATGTTGACCAGTGGGAGATTGTTCTTTGCCTTGAAGACAGGCTGGAGGTAACTATAAGGAAGCGTTCTGGTACACAGTTGGCATCATTCAAATATGGACGTCTCGCAATGCCTGGTTCGACAGTACTATGTAAATATGTAATGTTGAGTCAGAAATTCTAATATAGAATGTTTAGTGAGAAACGTGCTGTAGAGCTGGTTCAACCGCAGAACAATCATCGGATTGAGTAGTCTAAAATGTCACCCACACTCGGCCAGGACAGTTAATATATGGGAACTCCAGCACTCGCATATGCTCTAACTCTAAGTAGTAGTAGTACACACTCTAAATATGGTTTTGTTACTTGTCGGTGAGATTTTATACTACCAGGACTGCTTAGGCCAACACTCTAGAGTCAAAGTGGCTGATTTAAAACTCCAGGCGATAGGCTGAACACGAGGTCTCGTGGTCTTGGAGATTGATGGTGCATCTGCTTGCTGATGGGGCCAGATCGATTTTGCATTTTGACAGTGTTTCCTCATTTTCCGCCACCCAGTAGCCCAGAATGTCGGTATCGTAGGTTGGGATGATCGTCACATCTATATTCATATCTTCATTAGTCAATGATTTTTGATTGAGCAGTTCAATACACAAAACGGCTTGTCCAATAGTTAAGTCCAGTACTTAATGAAGATCAACTTTATTTTGTTCAGGCGACAAGCAAAACGAATGAAAATGAATCGTAAGGAAGCAAAGTTCCAATATATGAAAATTTCCATTCGTTCTGTTCGGCTGCTGCGAACAAATCAGGAGCTTTAGTTAAGTACTGCAATGAAAATGAACGTGAGCCTTATTTTACATGAGAACGAACATACGCGCATTGAACACATTGAATCGCGCCAAGTGTTCATCTACATTTGTTCCGTTTGACCGATTTCCAGTACTTACTGAAGATCAACCTCATTTTTTACAGCGAAATGATTGAATTTGATCAAATGAAAATGAATATGAACATCTGAAGATAGAAAATGCAATTACAGCAATTACATTAGGCCTGGGCAACTCAGTAACTAAGTAAGAGTAAGCCTGGGTAACTAACGTTTAGGAGTTAGCGCAAATTGCTGGGTAACTCAGTGGCGCAGTAACTCAATTCAGTCGGTGGTAAAACGTTGCTCATAAAAAATATTGATGACTTTTTTCAGTAGTTTTTTGTTTGGCTGAATGTTTTCCCAAAAATATTTCTACGAACAGAACAAGTGAAAGTTTATAATTAATTACTTGAAAAACTCGTCATATTCATCGCTGTGAATAATTTGGTTTTTTTAAATTCCTATTTCTTCACTTTTAAGTCAACATTTCTAAATGAAACTCTCTCTAAACAGGAAAACGCGTTTTTTCCTAACGATTCACTGTAAAATACTAGCAAACTGAGAAAGAAATAAAGAGATCGATTTTACAAGAAAACGTTCTCTTGTTTTTTTGAAAAATTAAAGTTTTCCCATAAAACGATTAGAGAAAGCAAAAGCATATAATGACGGATTTGGAAAACTCGTTACCCTCATCGCTCTGTAGAATTTTAAAGTTTCTTCGCAGTTTCCCGTTTTTCCCGCTTTGCACCAAACATTTTCAAGCAATCGTTTCTATGAAAAAGCTAACTCAGTGAATTGGTAGGAGAGTTAGTGTAGTGCTGCGCCAATTTACTCAGTGACTCGCAGGCGCAGTGACTCAATTCCGTTGCTCAAAACTCAAAAATGTTGACCTTTTTTGAGATGTTAAAGTTCCAGTCTGGGTCATCGGTAAATGAGTTATAACCCATTAACTCAGAGAGCGGCAACAACTCAAAAGCGCTACTCAACACAGTGGTACCCAGGTCTATACTGCACGCTTACCTTGGGAGAACTAAAGGCCTTGACAAGAAACTTTTTTGACAAAAAATGAGTCAACCACTTTGTGCTCTAAACCGCTCAATTATAACCCCACCATTCACTCACCTAATTCTTTGTCCTCCCAAGTTTGCTTCGCCTCCAACAAGGCGTCGTATACCTGCCGACTGGGCTCCAGTCCGGAAAACACATAATATCTGGCCCGGATTCTCTTGAAGAAATCCACATAGGAGTAGTAGTGGTTGCCGTGATGAGGAACGTAGCTCAGATCCACGTAAACTACGTTGGCTTTCTTCTGCTTCAGCTTCGATGGCGATTCCGGCCGCTTTTTGTCGTCGTTTAGCTTGTTTTTGGCGGTCACGTGGGCCGGCAGCTTTTTCTCCCGCTTCGGAGTCCCCTTTTCGTTGTTGTTGGGAGGAGCTGGACTGGGCAGGCCTAGCGGTTTCCCCCACGAGGCAATCGGATCATATGCGCCCTCAGACGTTTCCCCAAAGTACACGCTGGTGGTCATGGGATCTGAAGGCTCTGGGCCGCTAGCTTGACCTGGAAGTTCTTCTCCGATAAAACTGGCAGTCATCAAGTCCATTTCCTTCGGTTGCAAGTCGAAGCGTGCCTTTGTGACTTCATAGAGGTACGAAGGGGCTGGTGTTTCTTCGGGTTTTCCATTTGAGTCGACCCGATCTTTTTTGAGATCGTCATCTGGCCCAGAAGGAAGTTCACCTGGAATTATCCGATTAAATTTCTTGGAAAGGAAGTACAAACCATAATTCATACCTATGCAACTGGCAGTCATTAAGCTCATTTCTCCCGCTTGGAGCTCCTTTCCGGCGACTGGAAGTTCGGTGCTGAATTTGGCTTTGGTGATCTCATACAAATAGGTTCCAGATAAAGGCTCCTCGTCCTCGTGAGGCAAGGCCCCATAGAACGAGGTGCTCATGGGATCCAGCTTCATATCCAGCTCGTCCAGGTCGGACTGGGAGAAGGCCACTTGAGATTTGGTGCTCAAGTCGTCCTCGTCCGTTTCTAAAGCCCATCCTTCCAATTACATCTAGAAGATTTATTTAAGCGGAGTTAGACTTACCGGTTTGTTCACTGAAGCCGCCCTCGTGCTTTGACGAAGGCGATTTCAGCTCCTTGGCAACTGGACTGATGGGTACAGTTGGAGGAGTGGTTTTTCCAGATGATTCAATGTCGGAGCTCGATTTATCACTTGGAGCCCCCATGACTGGGGAAGTCTGAAAATTGCTTGTGCAAACTAAAAAGATCCTCTTGACTATTCCAGCTTACCTTGTCTGCTACTGTGGAAGCCCCTTCTTGGCCAGCTGAACTCTCCTTAGGCCTTATGTATACTTTGGCGTCGGTTCTATCACAAATAATGGATCTCTCGTTATCCAGGAAGGTCTGACTAGCTTCTCTGCGATCCATATCAGTCTTAATGCTAATTTCCACGTCGGATATGGATAGTTTTTTGCCTTCCGGCTGGTCTACTCTAAGAGCACTGCTATCCTGACTAACAGACGATTTCTCCATGCTCTCCTTCTCGCCTTTCTCTGCTTGACTAGATGGGGGCTTGCCTAAAACAGCTTCGCTTTTGGTTTCAACTTTTGCTTCATCTATTTTTTGCGTTCTGTCTAAACTACTAATATCACTTATTAACTTTGAGCTTTCCAAGGGTAAACCAGCTTGTCTAAGCTCGGTCTCCTCCTCCACAGGCTTGTCAGATGCAGCGAAGTGTTCCATTTTATTCGAGTCCTCCAACTTCAACTCCGATGTTTTACATTTATCTAAAGGTTGTTCCTTTTCCACTTTAGGTTTACTAATCTGGCACTTTTCGAACTGTGTCGGGTCAGCCAGATTGGATAAATCTTCGTAGCTTTTTCTCAGCGCATCAGCTGTATTCTCCAAATTTCTATCTTCTTTTTCCATTACATCCTTATCCACTTTATACTCGTCGAATGTATGGCATTTATCAAAAGGAGTGGAATCCGCCAGCTTCGCTAAATCTTCATAACTCATTCTTAAGTGATCAGTTTCATTTTCTATTTGCTTCTCCTCTTTTTCTAGAATCTCCTTGGCGACTTTATACTCATCAGTCACTTTGCACTTATCAACCACAGTCGATTCTGCAAGCTTGGACAAGTCCTCATAGCTTTTCTTCAAATGGTCAACCTCTTTCTCAAGCTGTTTTTCTTCTTTGGCCTCTTTGAATTCCTCAGAAATTTTGCATTTATCAAATGAGGTCGATTCCGCAAGTTTAGACAAGTCCCCGTAGCTTTTCTTCAAATGATCAGCCTCTTCTTCAATCTGTTTTTCTTCCTTTTCCAAAATTTCTTTCGCTACTTTATATCCATCAGTAACTTTACATTTATCGAATGAAGTCGATTCAGCAAGTTTCGACAAGCCCTCGTAGCTTTTCTTCAAGTGATCAGCCTCCTCTTCGACCTGTTCTTCTTCCTTTTCTAGAACTTCCTTGGCTACTTTATATTCATCGGCAACTTTACATTTATCGAATGGAGTCGATTCAGCAAGTTTCGACAAGTCCTCGTAGCTTCTTCTCAAGTGATCAGCTTCTTCTTCAATTTGATTTTCATCTCTTTCCACATCTTCCTTAGCTACCTTACATTCATCACTAATTTTACATTTATCAAACGAGGTCGATTGGGCAAGTTTTGACAAGTCCTTGTAGCTCTTTTTCAAGTGATCTGCCTCTTCTTCAATCTGTTTTGCCTCCCTTTCTAAAACTTCTTTGGCCACTTTGTATTCATCAGAAACTTTACATTTATCAAACTGTGCCGATTCAACCAGTTTTGATAAGTCTTCGTAACTTTTCCTCAGTGTATGAGCTTCATCTTCTAATTGCCTGTCCGCTTTCTCCAGCAATTCTTCTCCCACTTCATATTCTTCAGCTGCTTTGCACTTTTCAAAAGAAATCTCTTTTGTGAGTTTCGATAGACCTTCATAATCTTTTCTCAGTTGGTCGGCTTTCTCTTCTAGCTGTTTCTCCTCCTTCTCCAAAACCTCTTTAGCCACGTTGAAATCTTCGGAAAGTTTACTGTCATATAAAAGAGTTACTTCAGCTTGCTTAGATAAATCGTCCAGAGGTTTGACCGACAATGCAGATTTTTCAGTTGAGATAGAAAGATCATCAGATTTTTCAGATTCCTTCTCTTTTTCATGGACGTTCTTGTCATCGACAATGTCTTCCTTTGAAGCTTTCGGTTGAGCAGCTCTTTCAAGCCGCGTTTCTTCTTTGGCTTCCAGCTTGTAATCTTTGTCGATTGGTTTGTCTTGGGCAACTTCATCCAGGTCCTTAGCCCTTTTCGAGTCAACTGCCTCCATCGTTTTCAAGTCTTTTTCCTTCTCCGCTACATCTTTTTCAATTTTAAATTCTACCTTATTTTTGGCACCGAAAAGGCATTCGCCGTCTTCAACCTCTTTGGCAAGATGTTCCACTTCTTCAGAAGACTCCGGGACGTGTTTCACTTCTCGGTCACCTTCAGATTCGGGTTGTTTGCCATCAATTTTTTTCAAATCCTCACTAAAAGCTTTGGGCTTTTCCACTTCCTGTTTTGAAGCAGATTTCAGTTTGCTTGCACTGTCTTCAAGAGTTTTGGGAGCATCAACTTCGTTTTCTGAAGTTGATTTTTGCTTATCTTCAATAGACGCCTTTAACTCTTGTTCTTGGAGGCCTGGTTTATCCAGTTTTTCAGCACTCTTTACCGGAACAATTTGATGTTCAAGATGCTTTTGTTCTTTTGGAGTTCCTTGGACTGGGGAAGCTTCCTCGACAGCAGAAGCATCTGCAGGCGGAACTTCTTGAGTTTTTTGGAGTTTATCGCAGACTGTTTCCGGATGGGCAGCCACATTTTTCTCTTCGGGTAAAATTGACTGCGCGGCTCCTCCAATGGTCGAGAATACCGACTCCAAGGTTTTTTCTGATTTCTCAATAAAATCTTCCGCTGCATCAAGAATGCTTTCTCTTTGTTGAGGCAAACCAGTTTGAGATTTCTCAGAGTGATACTCATGTTTAGTGTCTGCTGGTTGAACTTCTAAAGTCTTATCGCCTAATGATGTAGATTCTGGAGAATGCTCTTCAGCTTTTGGTTTTCCTGCAGCTTCTTCAGTCTTAGCTTTCGCCTCTGGTAAAATATCGTGCAAAAGTGATTTGGCGCCTTCTCCAATGGCAGTAAACACCGATTCCAATGTCTTTTCAGACTTCTCCACACATTTTTCAGCTGATTCAACAATGCTGGACTTTCTTTCAAGCAGGACCTCTGGAGTCTTCGAAATTTCTTCTTCTTTAAGGTCCGATTTGTGTTCATCTTGAGACTTTTTACTAACAGTGCTGTCTCCAGTGTCTTCACTTGATGATTTAGAGTCGGAAGGATGAGCTTCAGCTTTTGGTTTTTCTGCGGCCTCTTCAGTCTCAGCTTTCGGCTCTGGCAAAATATCATGCAAAAGAGATTTGGCGCCTTCCCCAATGGCAGAAAACACCGATTCCATTGCTTTTTCAGACTTCTCCACAAATTCTTCAGCTGATTCAATAATGCTGGACTTTCTTTCAAGCAGGACCTCTGGACTCTTCGAAATTTCTTCCTCTTTAAGATTCGATTTGTGTTCATCTTGAGACTTTTTACTAATGACGCTATCTTTAATGTCTTCATCTAATGCTTTGAAGTCTAAAGCATGTTCTTCAGCTTTTGGCTTTTCTGCGGCCTTCTCAGTCTTAACTTTCGCTTCTGGTAAAACATCATTCAAAAGAGATTTGGCGCCTTCCCCAATAGTAGAAAATACCGATTCGATTGCCTTTTCGGATTTCTCGACAAATTCTTCAACTGACTCAGCTATGCTGGACTTCCTTTCATGCAAGACCTCTGGACTCTTCGAAAGTTCTTCATCTTTAGAGTCAGATTCTTGCCCATCTTGAGACTTTTTACTGATGACGCTGTCTTCAGTGTCGTCACCTGAAGATTTAGAGCCGAGAGAATGATCTTCAGCTTTTGGCTTTTCGGCAGCTGTTTCAGTCTTCACTTTCGCTTCTGGTAAAATATCATGCAACAGTGATTTGGCGCCTTCTCCAATGGCAGAAAGCACCGATCCCGTGGCTTTTTCAGACTTTTCCACTTGTTCTTCAGCTGACTCAACGATGCTGGATCTTCTCTCATGCAAAACGTCTGGACTCTTCGAAGGTTCTTCATCTGTACGGCTTTTCTTACTATCGCCCCTCTCTTCACTGTCTTCATCTGATAATTTAGAACCTGGAGCAGCTGTTGGTTTATCTGTAACTTCGTCAGTTTTCAGAAGCGACTTTGCTCCGTCTCCAATAGCGGAGAACACTGCTTCCAATGCTTTCTCAGATTTGTGCATAAACTCCTCAGCTGATTCTATGATACTAGACTTTCTTTCGGATAAGTGCTCTTCACTTTTTGGAACTTCTTCCTGTTTAGAGCTTATTTCAACATCCTTTTCAGCCTTGTCTCCAACAACCACATCTTTGCTGTCTTTTTCCTGTACCTTAGAGTCTGTGGAAGACACTTTGGCTGCAACTTCATCAGCTTTAGATTTTTCTTCCACTAAACTATCGTGTAAAAGCGACTTTGCCCCTTCTCCAATGGCAGACATAACTGACTCCAACGCTTTCTCAGATTTTTGCACAAATTCTTCAGCTGATTCAATAATACTTCCTCTGCGCTCAACTGGTTTTGCTTCATCTTTGGGAGCTTCTGGTTGACCATCTGGAACCGTTTCTTCAGTGCCTTTGTCCAATGGTTTAGAGCCTACAGTAGTTACTTCAGTCTTTGTTTTTTCTACATCTCCTTCGGTTTGCGGTTTGCCGGGTTCAATAACGCCAACTTTCTGTTCAATTAACCCCGTTTGGTCTTTTATAAGTTCTTCGTGTTTAAGGTTTGCGGATTCTTGGACTTTTTCTTCAATTGGGATACTCTCACTATGCTCAGTTAATGATTTAGAATCAAAAGCTCCAGTTTTTGGCTTTTCTCCTGGTAAAATATCGTGCAAAAGCGACTTGCCTTGATCTTCAATGGCAGTGAACGCAGATTCTAGAGACTTTGACGATTTTTCAATAAAATCTTCAGTTCGTTCTAGAATGTCCTTCTTCAGATCTCCTACTTCTTTAACTGCGGTTTTTGAATCATATTTTTCAATCTTTGGTGGATCTTCCGGTAAAGTATCGTGCAAAAGGGTCTTGCCACCTTCTTCCATGGAAGAAAACACAGATCCTGATGTGTTCGAGGATTTTTCCACAACTTCTTCAACTGATTCGATGATGTTCATCTTCAGATCTTGTACCTGAGGTGTTTGAGGCTTTGTTTCAATTGCATTGGTTTCAATGTATTCAGCTGCTGTTTTAGAATCTGTGGCTGCTTTTGGCTTTTCTTCCGCCGCTTCGTTCTTTGGTTTTTCGTCCGGTAAAATATCTTGCAAAACCGATTTAGCTCCACCTCCAATGGCAGAAAACACTGATTCCAAAGTCTTTTCGGTTTTTTCCACAAATTCTTCAGCAGATTCAATGGTACTTCGTCTTCTTTCAGGAGAGGCTGCTTGACTCTTTTCGACTTCCTTATGCTCTGCTTGTTGATCATGTGCTTTGGCTCCAGTGTCTTTACCTTTAAGATCTGCAGGCTTCTCTGGATCTTTTTCAGTTTTCACCGTTTCATCCTGTAGAATATCGTACAAGATTGACTTGTCCTCTTCCTTGAAGTCGGACACCACAGTTTCCAAGGATTGCTCAGTTTTCTTCGTGAAATCTTTAGCTGATTCAATAAATTCTGCTTTAATTGAGTCTGCTGAAATGGGATGATCAGGCATTTTTGAGAGTTCAGTAGCCGGAACCTTGCGTTCGTCTTCATATGGCAAAGTCTTTCCTGTATTGTCCACTAGACCGCCTTTGTCCTTTGGGTCTGTATCCGATTTAATTATTCCATCCAGTTTCCTATCGCCAATGGAGCTTAAGGAGTCTTCTAACTGTTCTTCCAGTTCTCTAGTGGCTTCAAGCAGTTCTGATCCATGTGATTCAGTAGGGAATTTATCATCTGTGGCTTGAGATTTATCGCCAAACTTCTTAAGAGTGTCAGTTATTCCAGCCATAAACCCTACGGCTTTTTCTTCTAGGTATTCAAGCCCTTGGTCCATTTGGTGTTCAATTTTTTCAAATGTAGTTTCAGCCGCCTCGGGCTCACCGCTCGCATCTTTGGAAATTTTGTCCTTTTCGCCCATCAGGCTTGCTTCAGGTAGTGGTTTAACTTCTGCAAGTTTGTCTGCTTCTTTACCTAGAACAACTGCGCCTTTTTGGCTTTCCAAAGGTTCTGACTCTGACGAGCTTGAGGCTTTGGATGCAGGAGACGATTCTGCTTTAATTTCCAAGCTGGGCTCTTGAGTCGTATCTTTAAGAACTTCAGGAAATTCGGCGATTTCCTTCTTCACGCCTTCGGATAACGATTCCTTACGCTCGTCTTGAGCTGGTGAAAGGGCAGCTTTAGGCTCAGCAGCAGTTTCCGTTAATTTAGCTTCAGTGGATTCAGCTTCCTTTGATGCACTCTTGAGTTCAGTCAAGTCTTTAATCGCGCCTGAACTTTGCAGTTCATCAGTGATGTCTTTAGGTAGAAGAGAAATTGAATCCTGCGGAATATCAACTGGAGGTACTGGCACTTTGGAATCAACCTTAGACTCAAGTTGTTCTTTCTGTTCAATAGAAGTCGATTCTTTGTCAATCTGTTGTTCTTTTTCAGGCGCCTTTGAAGCATCGATCACTTCTTCCTTCAGTTTGGAAGATTTTTCGGTTTCTTCTTTAGCTACTGGAGCAGCAAGTTTATCATCCAGGGTGGAATCACTGAGTTCTTTTGAAGGAAGAGGTACTGGCTCTTTGTGGGTATCTTCTAAAACTGGCACTTTAGACTCTAAAGATGAAGCGACTTTTGAATCAATGAATTTTTCCTCCAGCTCACCAGCTGACTTGAATTGATCTTTTGTATGTTCCAAAGTTGCCCAGGATTCTTCAGTTTGTCTTTTTTCCCGGGTTCCCTGTTGCTCGGCGTCTGCTACATTTTCTGTTGATGTTGCCTCAACAGACTTAGCGGCAACTTCTTGAGCGCCAGTTGCGGCTTCTTGAGCCTGGGATTCTTCTTCCAGTTCAGCGGCCTTAGCTTTACTTGCAGTTTCAAGATCAGTAATATGCTTGGCTGTTGAAGCAGTATCGGTCAAGGTTTCCACGATGGAAGATTTCTGAGAGGGAGTTTTCTGGGATCCTTCCGGAGAAGATCTTCCTGAACTTTCCGAGCTTTTTGAAAAGATGATTGTGCCAGCTGGGCAGATTTCAATTTCCTCGCCACCATCTTCACTGGAGGCAGTCACCAGCATTCTATGGACAACTCCTGCGTCATCCTCTTTATCGGAAGTATCCTCACTGAGCTCAGCGCCTGATTTGAATTTTAGATCGTCATCTGCTTCTTCGGGAATAGGCGGAATGTCATCAGTTTTAATGATTTTTACTTCCAGAATTGGAGAGTCCTGGGTAGTAATATGAGTTTCGCGCAGCTCTTGGACTAAAGGAAGTTTTCCTTGGAACTCTTCCAAGGGGGCCTCGGATTTTAGAACCTCCGCCACGCTAGCCACGATTTTCTTCACATCTTCCTCGCGCTCGGCTGGGGATTTTCTTCCCAGTTCAGCTTTGTCGATGGTTAAATCTTTGAAAATATCCGGTCCTTCGTCTTCTGGCGAGGAGTCAGTGAGAATCACTGATTCCGCATGTTCGGGGCTTCTAGTTGATTTTTCTACTTTTACTTCATCTTTTTCTGTGGAGAAGCTTTTCAGTTCGGCCAGTTTTTCATCGACTTTGGACATCTTTTCCAGATCTTGTTTGATAGAAATTTGCACCGAAGCAAGGTCGTTCAAGGCGTGCGGAAGTTCAGGAATTTTGCCTGATTTAGAGTCTGTTATAGGTTTTCTATCAGCTTCCTCAATAAGAGCTGTAATGTCCTCCTTGTCGCTTTCCACTACACCCTCTACTTCGTCTTCTTTCCGAACCTCATGGCCGTTCACTTCCGTTTCGGAATCCTGGTCTTTTTCTTCGGCTGCTTTAAGGCCTAATGCTACTTCTTGAGCGATTTGATCGGAAATAACTTTGTCAGCCAGTGCACGATGTATGTCTTCAGCTTTGGGCAACACTTGCTCTTTAGCTTCCGGAACAGTTTCCTTGGCCTTAGTGATAACCACCCACTCATCCTCCATGCTTTCCTTAATGCGCTCTTCCGGTAAAACTATGTTATTATCCTGATCTGATTTTTCTTTGGTTTCTACTTCCGCCTTCTCTAAAATATCACATTTTTCCACTGCATCGGACTTTGCAACACTTGCATTTTCTATCACAGATTCGGTTGGCTTCCAGTTAGTGGGTGCTGGTGCTTCTTCGACATCCTTCTTTTCTTGGCCGCTTTGGATAGTTGGTGGCTTAACATCGTCCTCTTTCGACTTAGGAGGAGTGATTTCATTGGTTTTCTTTTCGTCCCCATTGAACTCTTGATAGTCGGCCTCTTCGTGCATGGGTAGATCCGCAACTTCATCGGGAGTTTTTACGATGTCGCGAACATGTTTTTGCTTGTCGAGTTGAATGCTTGCCAGGGGCTGCTTTAACGGGCTGCCCTGTTGGCTTTTTGGCGGTAGTTGAATGACTGGAAGGCCTTTTTCTTTGGTTTCTTCCTTGATGTGCTTTTCTTCAATGGGCTGGCCGTTGTCTTCTTTGATTTCATCCAATGTGATGCGTTCGTCTTCTGGCAGAGTTGGTGCGGTTGTGGTTGCACCCGATTCCACGTTGGCTGACACCTTTTCGTCTCGTTGTGATTCGATTATTTCCTTCACTTCTTCTTCGGCTGGTTCCTTTTTGTCGTCGGATGGTGCTTTATCGTCTGGCGACGTGATCTGTTGCTGTTTGGAGTCGGGGGTTCCGGAAAGTTTCAGGGGTTTTTCTTCAGGAAGGTCAGTGGTTTTCAGCTCTTCTTCAGCGCTTAGTTTGCGCTGTTTTTCCGATTCTTCGCTATCGCGAACTAGCTTTTGCATTTCGTCTTCCTTGGCTTCCTGGTCCAGGGAGTCATGCTCGATGTCCTCCTTTTCAATGATCAGGTACTCTTCAGTATCCAGGTGGTCATCAATGGAGATTTCCTTGATTTTCCTCACCCCCGGCTCGGTTTGATCAGTTTCTGCCTCTCCCTTGCGGAACACCGCTTCGATTTCCTTGATGGCGTCCTGCTCTTCTTTCAGTTCTTCCAGTTCCTTGTCCTTGAGTTGCTCTAGTTCTTCAGGTGTGAGCTTTGATATGTCCTTCTTCAGGATGCTTTCCTGGTCAGCGGACGGCGTGCTCACAGTGCTGGAATCCGTCGTGCCTTCTTTATCCAGCTTTCCTCTTTTGGAAAGAGAGTCTGGCTTTTGAACACCGTTGGTCATCTGCAGCAAAAACGAAGAGCTTTAAGAAAAATGGGGGTTAAGCTAGTTGGATGTACCTTTTTTATGGGACTGGGAGGGCCTTTGGTTGCTTTGGGCCTTCGGGAAATGGGTTTTCGTTCGGGCTTGGGCTTCGATTCGGCTGCAGGTGCCGGTTTGGGAGTCACTTCTTTCTTCGGAAGGGCCTTCTTGCTTTCGATCACCTTGCGGTTGTTGGCGTCTTTGGTGCTTTTTGCCGGAGTGGCCTGAGGTGAGGGCTTTAGGGGAGCTTTACGCTCCTTTTCTTTCACTTCGCCGTTCTTCTTGTTTTCGATTGTCTTCTTAGGGGTTGGAGGACCTGGAAATTAGAGAGTTGGTGTTGTTCAAAATAGTTAGACTTTCAGAATTTACCTTTCTTTTCCACAGGGGCCTTTTTCTTAGGTTCTTCCTTGGGTTTCGGCTTCGGTTCCACTGTTCTTGGTTTTGCTTTGGCTTTTTCCCCATTCTCTAGCCCCTCTCGTTGGTCAGTTTTCTCGCTTTTGCGGACATCTTCAATCTTTTTTGCCCGCTTCTCCTTGTCGCTTTCCTGTGAATCGGACTTGGTCACCTGCTTTTCCCTGATCACATCCCCATTCATCTCCTTCTTGATTGAGTCTTCAATGAGGGGCTTATTCTCCGTTTTCTTCTCGGTCTTGGCCATTTTTTCCAGCACTTCCTGTTTGGTTTTCTTGGCTGGAATGACGGATCGGACTGAGCAAATGGGGTGCTTCATGCACTCCATATTCTTCAGCCGCTCCAGGCCCTCGAAGATCTTTTTCTGGGGGGTGCTTCCTGGGTATAGAATGCGGGTGATGGTGTCGTTGGGGTTGGCAGGCTGCCAGATCAATAGGGCGCAAATGGACACCAAGTTTTGCAAAGGAAAGTTGAAATCCTTTCCCGGCTTGGAGGCAGCAAACAGCTTCGAATCGCTCTGGTTCCACTTTTGCAGGAATTCCCGCACTTCGCGGGAGTTTTTGTCTGGTGACAGCACGTACATGTTGAGGGTGCCGTGGCCCACTTTGTGGTAGAGGATGATCGGATCGGAGTCCCGGTAACAGACTTGAGGGCTGAGGTTCAGTTGGCGCAAATCCTGGATAATATTCTGCCCTTCATCCAGAAGACTGACGATTAAAGGGTCCTTGTCTTTGTCGCCGTCTGGACTCAGCAGGGACTTTCTTTCCTGGATGTTGCAGAAGAAGTGGCCAATTTGCGGGTATACTGCGCCCTGCTTCTTCCTTTCCAGCACGGAACTAACGCCGCTAACGCTACTATTGTTCAGTCGAGTCATTAGAACTGCATCTAACCTGGAGCAGAGGAGTGAAAGAGTGAGGACCAGGAGGTGGAAGTTTTTTAGGACTTACCTATCTAAGTGTCTAACGAAATCCCAAAAGCACGCCTTTCTCGAATAGCCGCCGTCTAGAAGCATATTGAAGCCGTTGATACCGAACAAGGCTGCATCGCCTTGACCACCTGCAATCGCACAGTTGTAGCCCTAATTTCGATTTTTCTGGGGCGTAAAATACCTGGGAAAACATATAAGGTTGGCCTAGAAAATCGAATGTTTCCCACCACGTCGGAGCTTTCCAGAATATCCTCCAGGACGGTGGGCACCAAAAATGGATCTAAATATTTAATAAACCTGGAAATGGATGGGGACCCTGTTGTTAGGACGTCTGTTGGATTAACTCGGACCTGCAAACGAAGCAAATTCTTTGTTTGACTGAGCTCCAATGCTGATAATCAAAAAAATCCTTACCTTGCAAGACTTAGTAAAATATTCCTTAGGCAACCTCGGCCAGTCTCCTTCGACGCTACAATGCAGATCGATCGAGATGCCGTTCTCGTAAGCGTGAATCACCCTCTGGACCTCGATTTCCTGGAAAGCTTCGACAAAATCGGAATAGGAAAAGGTCCCATCCTGAAATTGATGATTGGCCGATTAGTGGCTGATTTCTGAAGATTTTCGCCATTAAATCGACCTACTTGTAAAGCCCAGGAGCCGTTGGCCTGGAAAGTGTATCCAGCATGGATGATGTGCCGATGCCTAGTGAAACTGCTAAGCAAGTTGCGGACGCATTGGGACAATGTACTGACGGCAGGATGGATCAAGATTTCAGTCACTAGATTTTCCGAGGCGAACTGGATCAATCTCTCGCCTGGAAATTGCGTTAATCGGTCATTTGCGGACTTTTCCAATTATCCGAATCTTTGTGTACCATTCGCAATAAAAGCTCACTCTGGCGAATGATTTTAATTATCCCCAGCCCTATAAATCCAAGACTCCGAGGCCGAAGAATGGATGATTCGATGCAGCAGTTTTAAATCAGTCCCAACAAGTGAATAGTTTAATGACGGCAAATTTATTTATTTATTCCCCAGCAGCTGAATCATCTTCGACCTAATGAACAGAACAATGATTGAAGTTCCAAATGAGTCCGGGCTTGGAAACATCCACGATTTGTTTCTCTATTTGTCTCTATCACCCATTGTGGGCGTGACATGGGTATGATTTATTCGATGCCCATAAACTACGGATATGTGAGAACTTTTTGTTCGCTAAACGAATGATTTACAGGATCTGTTTTCCGATACGGGGACCCGTTTAATGGAAAATCGAGAAAAATAGGGCAGAAACATTTTTGTATCTGAATAAGAGACATGTGAAAGAACGAAACTCGTTTTGGCACTACATCGTCTTGATCTTATCGACTAAGCAGAGTCTTCTTGGCTTTAGAGTTGCAAGATTTTCCAGCAGTATTCTCCCCTTAACTCTTGTGTTTGCCAGATGTTTAGCTGGAATTTTCAAAATGGGTTTCACCAAAAAGTTTGGGTCAATCGGCATGAAGAATTTGGGGAATTGATCTGAATCTTCAGAGAAATTCGGGAAAAGTTTGAAAATCGCTGGCCAACAGCTGTGGCTATTTTACTAGAGCTGTTCGTTTAGTTAAACAAACTTTTGGAATTGGAAAAATCCTGTCCCTTAATTCAGAGCCGTGTATTATAAAAATTGTCAAAAAACCCAGAATAAATGCGAAAACATTGCAAATCATCACAATAATAAACAAAGTTTGCTTTATTTAATAGCTCTAATTTCAATATTCTGTATCCTATCAGATTTGGATAATGCATTTTCCATATTACACATCGCAATGTTGAAATTTTTAAACAATTTCGAGACAGTAGATCTTAAGCACACGCTAAACAAAGAAGTTCTTAGAAAATATTAAGAGTGTTTCCTATTTTACCCTAAAATCCCCCGACCCCGACAAAAACAATCTCAAACCCCAGTAAATCCCGTAATTTGAAAAACACCCAGTGAATTGTAGCGGAATTTACACAACACTTAATTCCCGGAACCTTTAATAAGATAAAACTCAGCTCCCCATAATTTTAGCATAAGACTGGTAGACTAATCGAAGTTAATATCCTTTATAGGGCTTCGCAACGTAACTTTATAGCCGTAAGCTGTTATCGCGTATCGGCCATACAGGGTTTATTAAAAAATGCGGATTTCCGCAAAACCTACCAAAACGAGCTTCTTCTCCTTCTAGTCCTTGCTCTATGATGATGGCGAGCTCTTTTTCCAAATCCACCAGGCATTCGTTCACATCCCACGAAAGCAGACCTGAAAAATGAACAACTCGTTGAAAACTCCAATGAAATGTTATGATAAAGTTGGTAAAGTTGGCATGCAATTCAAGCAGAAGAACAAACTTTGTTGTTGGGAATGAGTTACATTTGTGTCTCATTGAACGAGGCAAATGCCCTCAATATTGAGATCTTAGCCTGAACAGGCACAAACAATTCAAAAACTTGGCTCTTTTATCCAGATCGACTAACAACACGCTCTATTGAGCATCGCAAGAGCAAAGCTGGGAAATGTGAAGTCTCAGTTGCATCCAGAAACGAATATTTACTGTGAACTTGTCTTGCCGCATTGCAGCTCGTTATTCTTGACCTTTCATTCCAGGTATTTTGGAAGCACCAAGTCGTTATGGGACGGAAGTTTGGCCCGAAGTTGCCAAAGGAGTATTTTTGGAATCTCCAAAAGAATTACGCTAATTTTAGACGGTTGTTTATTTTCTTCTTGGCTACCGGATGGATGCATATGACATGCAATGTTTCTAGAGGTTTGATATAGTTGTCGCTTAAATGTACAAAAGAACAATTTCCTACGGCCTGTTTTAATGTAGCGGCATTTTTCACATATACAATAAAGACGCTGTTTGCAAATTCCGAATTATTCGTTAGATTTGGCTTTTATCTGTGATAAATACTGAGATTTGTGCGGTGCGGATATGAATTATTCCATAAAATATCCAGACGATTAGTTACCAATTTTAGTTGATCTTTGCTTGATGGCGTTTAGCTAAATGTTATTCTGTGGAAATATAAAGGTACAGAGAGAGAGCAGGAAAATAAATTGATGCAGACAACAAATGCAGAGAGAAAAAGTTAATTGAGTAATAAATAATAAAAAGTAGTTTTTAGTTGAAAATGGTTTACACAAAAAAGTTCTTTGTCATTCAAAATTAGTCAGAACCTATCCGTATCTAAAGAATATTGATCGCTCTTCTACCACGAGCTGCTTTTCTGTTAAGTAATCCCCTCCAGATGTGTCATAATGTATGAGGTAAGCCTCAAAGCCGTCGTCGAATGGCTGGGAAAAAGTAAGAAAAAACAAAATATTTTCTGGTCCTCTACAGCTCTAAGACGAAAATTATGCGGGTGTGGCACGAAGCCGCTATTTCCTGGGTGATAAATTTCAGTTTTTGTCTTCCATTGGCCTGGTTTTTATGAGAAACGTTTTTTGTGCAAATTACTGCTCATAAAGTTTTCCCATTTGCGTTGTTTAGAGTGCAACCTAAACCAAAACCCGCCCCATTAAATGCTTTTAAATTTACATTTCCGAAGCTTTTACTCTATTGAAACATCGACCACCTAACGGAAATATTTGCAGTTGTGTTTTCATCCTGGACTTTGCATTAAAAAAGACGCGAATTACTGCATAAAATAGCATAACTTAGCATAAAATCATCACCTACTATAAGCGGTAGTGGGAAAGTTTTCCATTAGCCTGGTTTCACGTTGCCGTTTTTATGAGAATTTTTTTTCTGCCAAATTACTGCTTATAAAGTTTTTCCATTTCCTTCATAATAAAAGCTTTTAAATCTACATTTCCGAGCTTTTGCTCTATTGAATCTTCGATCACCTAAAGTAAATATATGCAATTGATTTTGATCCTGGACTTTGGTTTGGATTGCCAGCCTTTTTACGCTAATTACATCATAAAAATATAAAACTTTGCAACCGGCAAATGACTTTCAATTTCCACTATCACCTCTGGCGGAAAAGTACTAAAAACATCCATTCAATGTTAATACGGATTTTGTTCAAGTTCATGCTTAAACAATGAGGGACTTAAAATTAGATTGCTACCAATATCTCAGTCAAGTCCACTGTTGTTGTGCAATAATTGTTCAAATAAAGGCCGAGGAAACTCCGCAGGCTTAACAAATAAAACCCGCCGTGCTTTTTCTCATATTTTCTATTGATTTCCTCAAGACAAGGGTCTGTTTGCTCTACCAATCGATGTTCCGGTCTTTTTTGTCCCAGCAAACGCCAGCAATCGAGTAAATATAAACATAAAAGCGCCAAATTCCAAAATATTGTATTTCAAAAGCGAGAGTTCTGTTCATATTTGCCAGCAGCTGTTGTTCTCATGGACTAATGGGTTTCGTCTAAAACAACGCTAATTTTCCGTTATACAGATTCCCTATTTATTTCCCGCGGCTGTAGAGCGAAATTTTAAATGCAAATCAGTCTGGAGGGACAAAATGCGCCACCAAATGGAAAACAGCCATCCAATTCGTCCACAATTTCGCATGAATTTCAAATGGTTTAAATGAGTCGCAGTCAGAATTGCATCGAATTTAAATCCAGCTTGCTCCAAAGTCGACTGTCGCAGGATTTTGAGCCAATTTGAGGGTTCCATATGGAAAGCAAATATTTTGTTCTACTAGCTAAAGCAGGAAACTTGTATCTTCCCCTATCTCTAGGAGGAGTTGAACAAGTATGTTCAATGTTTGCATGATTTTTGGCAAATTACTTTTCATTTGGAATTCTTAAGTTTTAACAAGACAGAAACACAAATATTTCGATGGGTAATATCGATAATACCCAATTGGGTTTCAACATAAATTTTAACCCGTAAAGATTCACAAGATGAAAACAAGGTTCAGAACGCAAGATGCTCCGATGAGAGCTAAGAATCACTCTAATAGAGTGTTTCGAGAGCTATAATTTGGATATTAGGGCTGTCACAAGTTCCTAAAGACATTTACTCAATCCTTCCAACAAGAGATATTTTTCAATTCTAGAATAGAAACTCTGCATCTCCATTCTTACGAAACATTCCCGCTATATCGCCTAAAAGATCGTTTTTCAGTAATTGAGCTTTATTAGAAGTTCTCACCCTCTAAAGAGTTAGGAAGCAACATTTTGAGGAGTCGTCAAAGTATAAAAGCTCATTTCTCTAAAGGCAAAATGTAAGCACCTCTCCAGAGCTTCAGTTTCGTAATTGGGCTTGTACAGAAATTCCTGCAGCAAAATTAGTAAAAATTGGAATTTACTGCTTAAATTGAAAACAGAAAAGAACAATTTTTAAACAGCTGGGTGATCCCAGAACGGGCCTTTCAGGAAAAAGGTAAGAATAGAAGATGTAAAATTTTAATACAAATTAGTAAATGTTAGAAATGGCTGAAATGGAAAAGGAAAAGCAACAGGCTACAAAAACGAAACAAGCAAAAACTTTTTTAAATTAAACTAAATGAAATATATTAGAACCTGGATAATTACTGTAATAAAAAGACAGAAGAAACTGTTCAGGAAAACCCTAAAAATACGATTGAAGAACCAATTACAATGTGTTGTCTACGCAGTTTACGTTGGAGACATTTGAATCAATCGAATTTGGATCAATCAGTGAGACAAAACTCGAACATTTTGCATACAATGAAGGCAGAAAATTTCCGATCTATTGACAATGAGACAAAAAACATAGATATAAAGGAAATGCTAGAATAAAAGCACATTTTTATCGTAATCGTGTAGTTGAAAACTGGCGGAGGCGAATATGATAATTTTTTTAACTGGCTTGATAAACTTTTCATATAAATTAGCCCAAAATTTCACAGAGACCGTTTATTAGGTGCCGTATGTTTATTAACGTAGTGCGGTAACATTTAACTTCAGGATGGCTTCCACGCAAACTATCCAAGAATGCTTTAAAGGTACTTGATTCAATTTTGGTACGCATAGATAATTGAATGCAAGTGATTTGCAGGAAAAAACATATTTCTGACCGGAGGAAGTGGATTCATTGGAAAAGCTTGCATAGAAAAATTTCTGCGCTCGTGTCCAGATTTGGGAAAGATTTACATTCTGCTTCGCCCCAAAAGAGGAATGTCCCTAGAAGAGCGAGTCGAGCAAATTACGTCTTCGCCGGTAGGTAGAACGTACAAAGTGATTCAACATTAGCTCAGTGAAATGGTAAACAGTTTTCTAGCATACGCTATCTTAAATGAGTGTTCAAAATTTGAAGCGCGAAACATTATCAAAATGCTTCACAAAACCAAGACCCAATTTTTAGATATTGCAAGTTAGCGTACGATTTCGAAAGATTTGGCCAAATTAAGACTTAATTTTTTTGAAAGATGAGACAGTGCAGATGAGCTTTAGCAACGTTTTCTTAACCAGCAACCAGTACTGGACTATTTAGATGAAGTAATTGACCGCGGAAGAACTTTTGGTTAGTCATCTAGAAGTCGAGAGAGAAGAATTTCTATTTTATATCAAAGAGTTGTAGCAAACAATGCAACTCCCGTCCCAAGTCGAGATCAATTCTAAATGATCTTGAAACTAAGTTCCAAAGCACTGCGCAAAATGCATCAGCCAAAATAAACAGTATCCTGAACATTTTCCGATGCTGCGCCGAGCAAACCACCTATGAAGATATATGTGCTTGCAAAACATCAGCAAGAAATTATTTTTTACTACGCAATTAAAGCCTGAAAAGTTCTCAAGCTTCTGGCAACGGACGCGGAAGCCCAACTCTTTTGAAACATTTTGGACAGTTCTAAAACAATTAATGTTTCAGCTGTTCGAGAAACTGAAGCAAATGTATCCTGAGAATCTGAAGAAAATTATCCCCATCAAGGGAGACGTGCTTCATCTCGGACTAGGTAAAACGACGTTTCAATACTTGAACTTATAGCAAACTCGGATAGTTTTCCTCTAGGTATATCCGATGAAGACCGAAAGCTGCTGATTCAGAATGTGCACTTTATTTGCCATACGGCAGCATCTGTTAGGTTTGACGACTTTCTTAATGATGCCATTTTTACCAATATAAGAGCCGCCAGGGAAGTGGCTCTATTGGCACTGGAAATGAAAAATATCCAGGTTTTCCTGCACATATCGACCACATATTGCAACATAGATGGTAAAACGGTAAATAGTTTTTCTTCCCAGAAAGCCAGTATGCGATGAGTGTCCCATTTTAAATCAAATTATTGGAAACCTCGGAGTCTTGGCATGAGGGGCATCAATTACACGTTCTTATTCGTTTCCTCATCAGATAAAGTCGCGAAGCGAGTAGGCCACCCTGTAGAATGTTCTGGACTCATTTCGATTTGTAGATAATAAAAATCGACCGATTTCAGGTAGTGGATGAAATCCTTTACCCTCAGCATGGCGACTGGAAGGAAGCAATTCGCGCTGCTGAGTCAATGGACAGTCACACGCTGAATGTGCTCACGCAAAAATTCATGGCACCTTTTCCCAACACGTACACATACACGAAACAACTAGGAGAACATTGTATTAACGACATGCTGGTAGGAAAAGTGCCTGCCGTCATCTGCAGACCTTCCATCGGTAAGAGTCAAGCTAACGAATTCAGGCAATAGCAGCCGGATTTTTGCAGTATTCGGCTCCTTGGTGGAACCTTTGCAGGGATGGAATGATAACTTCAATGGACCCATGGGACTGCTGTTGGCTGGGGGGACAGGAATTCTCAGAGTAGTCTATGGAGATCCAGACATAAATTCAGATTACGTGTCAGTCGACAATGTGGCTAAGATCATCATTATGGCCTTGTGGCACAAGGCAGTTTTAGGGTAAGAAAGTTTCGAGAGTTTGGAACTAATTACTAGTTTAAGGTAAATAAATGGCCAGGAATTTGTTTGGAAAAATCAAATTAACAACGAAATGTAAAAATAATCTAGTCTTTCACTTAATGAGATTTATTACCTTATACTTTGACTACCGAAACTGCTTGATAGATCGCGGCATTATGTAATATTTCCTATTGTATTAGAC